CAGAGGCAAGAATGAATAATATCAAAGAAAAAGAAGACCATATTCAGCATTTTAATTTTTTTAAAATTTATTGATCTATTCTGTATTGAGTAAGCAACATTTTTGGCAGAGGGCTTATTTTGAATTTTGTGAAAATGCATTAGGCATACAGGTAGTTATCAAATTACAACCACAATTGAACCCAAAATTATTGTTCCTAAGTGAGACAAATGTTAAGTGGGTTTTGCTCCCTTTTACAACCTTTCTTGCCACAGTTGTTAAGTGAATCATTGCAGTTTTTAACAGTAATACTGTTGTTAAGTGAATCTAGCTTCCCCATTGACTTTGCTTGTCAGAAGGTCTCAAAAGGTGACCACATGACATGATCCCGGGACATTGCAACCATCATAAATATAACTCAGTTGTCAATGATCTGAATTTTGATCACGTGATGATGGGATTGCTGCAACAATCGTAAATGTGAAAAATGATCATCAAGTCACTTTTTTCAGTGCTTTTGTAACTTTGAACAGTCCCTAAATGAACTGTTGTAAGTCAAGGACTACCTGTACTTATAAAACAGTTGCTATGTGAGAATTATCTAGTCACAAAATAATTATGCAAGACATAGCCACTTACATCTCTATATTTCTACATTTATCAGAAACCAGCCTCTCAGCATGCTCTCTAGCTTCCTAACATTTATCGCTCCAAAAAATCATTGCAGGAAATAAATATGAGGCTAGCAGGTGGCATTCTGGTTTACAATGAGCCATCTTTCTATTTAATTTTGTTTAAAAAATCTTTTAAAAGTTAAGATAGGCTCTGAGCCTGATGAGGACCAAAGGAAGTGCTGGGTATGATATGCTGTGGACACTGCATTGTCTATTTTTGTTCTATATAATCTGACTCTAATGCTTTTAAGATCTTGTCATCCCCTCATTCAGTTGATAGAGCAACCGAATTCTATCCATTACGGTATTCTTGTACTCTGGAAGATGACATCAATACCAGCTCTAAAAAAAAGTGCTAGCACTATGTTCTTCTGGATTTCTCCTCTACTGCATTATTGGAAATTTGTTTTATATTTCAATGGGTTGTACATTGATTTGAACATTTCAAGTCACAGCTTAATTCTCTTTTGAGTTCTGTATTACGAAGCTCAGGCTTTCCAAAATTATCAAGTTAGATAAGAACATAGGATGGGAAAAGAATGATACAGAAAGGAGCATGTTTTGGTAATCAGCCAAGTCAGAGTTTTTAAATTAAAATTTTTTTTAGAATGAAGACTTTTTAGTAGAAACTTCAGAGCAGAATGACCACTAATGGTTGCCAAGGAAAACTTTACAAAACATACCTAAGAATATTCATAAGGTCATCATCACAGTATGTGCTTATGATCTTTGTGGAATTCATCAGCTTCTATTCAGATAGGACAGTTAATGCAAAAAAATAGCTTTACCCCTCACTTTGGTATCTCTACTCAACTGTATTTCTTATATCAAGATGTAGACTTTACAATCTTTGTCTATAGTAGGTATTTTTCTTAAATATCTGGATGGATTTAAGAGGCTGCCATCAAACATAGCTGATAGCTGAACTCCATAGCTAGAACACCACAAGTAACGTCACAGAAATTCTATTCTACATTTACAATTTACAATCGCAGTTCATCTTTGAGATACCTGGTGTGTCCAAATCCATCATTTGTAATTTCATGGATACTGATGAATGTCTAAATACTTTCCTAGTCCATACAGCTGCAGAAGAAAATGTAAAATGTTTATACTTTTATTTTATTACAAAAGTGGTTTACTTTCATATTGCAATTAATATATTCCCAGATTTCTTAGCATTATTAGTTCATCTACTATTTTAGACATCTTGGAATCCTATGTAATCACGTGCTATAAAAAAAAGATGGCAGCCAGGTCAGGTGAACACTATAGAGCATATAATACTTGGAATATATAAAGCCATACATGTCAAAAATGTTGACATTTCAGGAAAACCTAGACTCTTTGAATGTGGCCTCATTTTAGAAGTTGCACTTCAGACTTTCACAATCTGTTATCTTTCAGATGTGCTAGAATTTGACTCTTAATAATTCTCAGCCAGAATATCAAAATCAAAAACATCTGCATAATTATTTAATCAATGCAGAGAAAACAAGATCTTTCAGTTCAAGAATGCATTCTTACTGATTAAATAATATTCAGCATAACAATGATATCTCAAAATAAATTTGTTCCCCTGCCTTCCTCTCATACAGAGTAAGAGTCATAATTTTAGGCCTAGTACTGTTTAAATGTAAAATAACTTTTTCAATTCCAGATGAAGATAAGAAAACAGTGACAGTATGTGATTAGAGAATGCCCATGGAAGAAGTCTCAGACACTTGAAAGGGCTGCTGAATAAGATTAAGTGGAATAGGATTTTAGAGTCATAGCTATTTCTGTGTCCTATTGAAAGTATGCCAAATAATAGAACATAAGTAATTTTCTGATTCAGAGCAGGTTATAGTTTATAGTTTTATAAAGTGTGTGTGTGCATAAATTTCAAATTACCATGATTAATTATATCCAAATTTCCACACACCCCTTCTATTAGAAAATCCCACATTTGCAGATCCCATTTTAGCAATGCATCTAAGACAGTGTTTCTCAACCTTGGCAACTTGAAGATGTCCGGACTTCACCTCCCAGAATTCCCCAGCCAGCATTTGCATTTGCTGGCTGGGGAATTCTGGGAGGTGAAGTCCGGACATCTTCAAGTTGCCAAGGTTGAGAAACACTGATCTAAGATTTGACTTGCCCAGCCAGTCATTAAATTATGCTTGCTAAAATATGAACTGAAATACGAACTACTCTGCAAAGCTATCCCTAATGAAGATAAACTGATCTTGATGTCAATCCACCTCAACCTTCCACTTGTCTTTTACTTGATACCTCTGCCAAATCTCCTTTTCCAGCGATACCAAAATAAAAAAGGTGACATTGCTATCCCGCAGGCCTTTGCCATCAAATTATCGAAGGCCCGAGGCCCAAACTCCGGCGCTCCAAAACATGACAGCCCATCCACCCAGGTCAAAAGAGGACAGCTTCAGCATGCGTGGGTGGGGAGAGGGAGGAGGGAGATTGAAAAGGGCTGGCCTTGGTGACGTCACAATGTCATATGCAAATGAGGAGACCGTCAACACAGGCTTTCAATCCCAGGCAGCCAATGGCAACAGAAACCAGTTTTTTAATCTAAATCCCTTGATGAAGAAGCGAATAACAAAAGAAGACAGCAAGAGAAGGCAACGGGGGATGCGAGAAAGAGGAGAAATCACTGTGACATCCACGAAATTAGGTGTTTGTTCTTTTTTTTTCTTCTCCTTTCCCCATTGGGAACTGGATCTAGAAAGTTGTCATTTAACATCATTGCTCCCTTTCTTCCCCCACCCCTGTTTCGTCTTTAAAGAGAAAAAGACACCCATTCTCTGCTTTATTGTATCTGACGTAGTGGGCTTTAAATCAGAAGCTGATGTCACACAACAGCCCTGTCCTTTCGGAAAACGCAAGGCCCTGCCTGGTCTTACCCAACGCTACTTGCCAGGGATCTCAAAAGGAGAACTTCCAGATCCCTTCCTTTCCAGCCTCTCCGCCTTACCCAAGTCCATCCAAGGACGCGCCTGAAAATCAGAGGGACACTGGGCACTTCTAAACCCAGAGAGGCGGTCCGATCAGTCCCTTCGCCCAGCTCCACCAAAGGTGAAATCGCCAGCGAAGCAACACGAACGGAAGGAAGAGACCGAGCAAAACCGGGCCAACAGCCGCCCCACAACTAGCTGGGCATTAGCTGTAAGGGACCCATCTCACGCCTCCTCATCTAGCGAGCCGGGCCGGATTGCCTCGATTAATCCCCTCCCTGGCAGAGCTACGGGTAAACTGGCGCTCAAGGCTACAACTGAACGCAAAGTCCCCGCTCTGAGATCTGCAGCTAATTTACAAGGAACCCTTTGCAATCCGCCAGCGCCTGCTATGACCTCAATGAGAGGGAGAAGCGAGCCTCCGCACCAACAAGGCGAGGGGTGGTATTTGTTTTAAAATTTATTTATTCTGTCACTCATGTACAAGAAAACAGGAATTAAGAATAATAAACATGAATAAGAACACAGGAAATGGGTACAAATAAATGGGGACATTAGGACTGGGACTTTAGGCACAGCTGGTCTTCCCTTCCTCCTCTCCGCATCTTTCCTTCCTTCCCTTCCCGAATTTTAGTCGTTTCTGCGGGTTGGCTGTGCCTCTTCTTGATGGTTCCCCAAAGAAAGTCAAAGACAAAAGGCTCTTTTTGCACCATCGAGGAAGCCAGTCAAACGTCTCAAATCCCGAGTTCCTCGTGGGCATCCCCCACCCCAGCCTTTTGTTTAATAGCGATTCCTTTCCCCATGAACTAATTGTAAAGTGTAAAGCGGATAATCAGCGCACCTGTTTTTAAACCTGGGATGCCAAACCTTAACACTCATATGATACGCGCACACATTCGCATCAGTTTTCACCCGCAAGTGGTTTAAAGTAAACAAGATACCACCAATAGCTTTCCCCCCACTCCACCCACCCCATACCTAGCGAGTCTGGTTTCTCAACTCAAAACAAAGATCTTGATCTATTCTGCTAGCGCCGAATAAGGCTGCTTGGTCTCTCTCCCTGCTAACCAGAAGATGAAACCACAAGGCGTCCATAACAACATACTAAGAAATCTACAACGAAGCGCCAAGGCGCTAAGATGTGCTGCCAAATACAAAGGACAATTAAAAATGTCACCCCAGGAAGAAAATCGGTATCAAAACCGAATGCCAAACGCTACTGCGAAAAAGAAAACATGCGGTGCTGAGCCAAAGAAACAGAAAACAAAGAAACAAAGACCCGAGCAACATCTACAGCATGCAGTATCTATCGCAGGGGGCTTCTTTCCCACAAAGAGAGGGTTCTCCACTTTAAAAATAAATTGGCGGAGAGAGGGAGAGCATCACTTACCTTCACTTGCCTTTTAATGTCATCAACTGTTTTGTAAATCACGCCGCAAGCACACACACATAAAAAAAACCTACAAGGTTTTTTTTACAGCACCAGCATTAGGCGAAGTCTGTGAGGTAGTTTTAATTGAAATCAACAACTAAGGTTCATAATAGAACTGAGGATTGTTTTTTGTTTTAAAAGACACCCCACCGGGAAAAAAAATATTAAACTCGAGCAAGAAAAGGAGAAGGTTGCGGCGGTAATGTCAATTGTGTCTCTGATCTTCCCAGAAGATATGCAACGCTGCAAAATGCATGCAGATGCCCTTGCATCCGGACGCTCTCCCTCCCCAAATGTAGTCCTCGTATTATTATTTTTCGGGGATTGCTGAATCCCCAGTTGATCTTGGCTCAGAAATTGGAACGTTCAAACAGCTGATTGTGGCGTCACAAAGGAGCCCGCCCGCCGCCGGAATGGTAACCGCTCGCCCCAGCCAATCAGAGACGGCCAACGGCTGAAAGGCGGGGCTTTTTGTGCCTCGGTGGGGGGAGTTCTGAGGCTCCACGTGAGTGTTGAGACCCGTGGTGGAAAGAAGGGCTGGGCTTGTGACGCGGTGGCAGAGGTAGGTCTCTTAATACAAAGTAGATCCGTGTGGTCCGTTCGTCCGAGGGATCTGTGAGTCAGGCGGGGCGAAGGACCGAAAATAAGGGGGGGGGATACCCCTCTTACGAGATCGCTTTAGAATCCGGTGAAATAAAAAACTTTTTTTGTGTCTGCTCCTGAGGTCTTAGTGAGGATCTTGAAAAAGCTGCTCAGTTCGCGTTCAGATTTCCAAGGGATCGCCCTGTCAAAAAAACAAGAAACATAGACCCGTAGAAGTGATATTTGTAATAACGTTCGGCAATCACGTTGTGTTACCTAATGTGTGTCTGCCACCATCCACGAATTCACAGTAATTGTTGCACTTGTTTTGCATAAGAATTGTGTGGTTACATAGCCTGCATTTCCTTCCCATTCTTAGACATGCACACTAACATTGGTTTTCCCCCCCTTTTTCTCCACACCTATCTGCCAAAGGAGATGGTGTTTTGTCCATTTTGAAGTAAGCTCTTGACTTAAAAAGTTTAGGGTAAAGTAGGGTTTATTTTAGATCTTTCTCTTTTTACAGAAGAAGAGTGGCGTTCAGTTGAAACAAGTTGTTTTACAGTTTTATTTTAATCACTCAATCTTTAGTTGTGATCACAGACCAGGATACAGATACTTTAAAGATGGCAACCCCTTCAAAAGTGTTGCCATCTTTAGTTTGGAAGCGGATGTCAGGTTTGGTTCAACATTATCTAATTTAGAAGCAAAGGCATTTATATTAAGGTTGAAGGACACTATGAAAATGTGTACTGTGTGTGCCTACGAAGCATGTGTGAAAAGCTCTCTTGAGGGTGGTTTCAGATAAGCAGATACTTTTAAAAGATCTTGTAACATAACCTGATGCCTTTTGCTATGCTGCAAATTTATATAATCTATTGGAGGGCACTAGATTGGGTAAGGCTATTTTAACAATATTTTAAAAGGAAGACAAAGTTTTATTTCCAATAATGATTAATTATGCCTTAATCTATATCTTTTGAACAAAACAGTCAAAATACTAACCCTACATTACCCCTATATTATAACCTTACATTATAATCTTACATCAAATCACTAGGACAGAGAGATGCTACATTTATTTAAAAAAAAACTCTCTCGAGGCATTTTTAAGGGCATGTTTACATTCTTGCCTTCTTGACTCCTAAGGAGCTCAGAGCTGACCTTTGGCTGTCTGCATTTCTATTGACTTCAAAACACAGAATAAGCAGAAATTGCCACAGGCTAGCCAGTACTCTGTCTTGCATCAGTGTGTGCTTTCAAAAATGTTTTACTATTGCAGTGTTTCTCAACCTTGGCGACTTTAAGTCCTGTGGACTTCAACTCCCAGAATTCCCCAGACAGCATAGCTGTCCACAGGACTTAAAGTCGCCAAGGTTGAAAAACACTGTACTATTGATACCTTGATAGACTGACTACAGGTTCCAAAGTAACAAAAAAAAAGGCCCAACCCCAAAAACCCAAACCCAAACTACACACAAAATGGAAAGAGAAGAAATTGCTAATATACCTGTCCCATCATGATTTTTGTTCAGGTTGTGTGCTTTTGTTCAGTTGATTGTAAAAATAACAAAAATGACCATTAACAAGAAGGAAAGCAGAAACCTGCCCAGAGAGGATAGTGAATAACAGCTTGGTACATGCTACTGCAGCAATTGATAGAGTGGAGATACCTTCCAAATCGGGGGTGTCAAACTCAAGGCCCGTGGCCTGAATCTGTTTAGATCTGGCCTGCGGGGCTGCCCTAGAAACACTGAAGGACTGGCCTGCGGTATCTCTGCCAGTGAAGGAGCTCATATTAGGTGGCCGCTGGCAGAGGATTGCAGGAAGCCGTTGCAGCCAAAAACAGAGCTCAGGAGCCTGTTTTCGTCGGCAGAGCACTCAGGCCACCATAGGCACCCTCAACGAGTAATGTGACATTGAGCTGGCCACGTCCACCCTTGCCGTGCCTCCTGCCCCCCCCCCCCCCCGAGGTCAAACACAACCCTGTTGTGGCCCTCAAAATGAACTCAAGTTTGACACCCCTGTTCTAAATGAATAGAATCTGAAGTAATAAAGATGCTGCTTTGAATCTGGGAGGCAGAGAGAGGGAAGAATTCCCAGTGGTACTTGTGAACTCCTGTTTACATGTCAGCCACATAATACACCTCCAAAACCCTGCTCAAAACTTTGTCTCAGTTTATCCTATATTTAAAAATCCAGAGTTTTGTTTTTGTGTTGTGAGATTCTTCAAAGATGAAACATTGCCAGATACTCGTTCCTTTCTGTATGGTGATCTTTCTGTTACATGAACCTTAAAATCCCCACCTTCACTCCATGGTCCAACAGGTTTCACAGCTTTGCAAATCTTTGGTTTTATTTGCACTGTGCAGTGATAACTGTAAATCTCTCTTACAGTGGTTCTCCCCATCACCTCCTCCCACAAAATGAGACATAAGTCAAAATATTAATGATCATGTGAACAAATCATACCCAAAACATTTGCTCATAAGCTGCTCCTTAAAGGACTGGAGCGGTCCAGTGGACGTATTGTGACATGTTTAGATAAAGTAACTTCTATTTCACAAGTCCTTTAGCCTTTTGAGGTGCCTAAGAGGCTCTTTATTGCGTTTGTTATAGCAAATTAATCTCGTTGCCTGCATCAAAATGTTGGGAATTGCCCTGTCTGGTGAAGTGGGGTTCTTATTATAGTCACACTGAATGTGGTTTTAGTTGAGGAGCCACGAAGTAAAGAAAGAGCTAAAAAAAATTCAGCTGGTTGGCTAAAATTATAGTATAAAAATTACCAAATGAATAAATTGCCATGTCATAGAGAGAAATCTAAGAATCTTTTCTTGCTTGCATTAACCACAGCAGAAAAATGCCCTTGGCAACAACTTTGTTTTCTGTTATGTCCTCATAACATGGCCTTCATCTTATTCTCAGGCCATAAATGAGATGGCCTTAGCTTGTCCTTAGATGTACCAGATTAATATTTTCCTCTTTCTTCCAGTGCTCTCCAAGGGTAGCCTCAAGGCTGGGCATATCTGTTAGGCTTGGTCACCTTTATTTTGGAGGGAGGTCAGGTGACTGAAGTGATTTGAAGAAGAAGCAGATGGGTATTGGCAATAGGAACAAATAATGTTATGCGGGCAGTGTTTAATGTCTACTTAAGGATGAGTGGATAGCACTTCAACTCAGCAGTGGAGAAAGGACTATGAAGGGGAAAAGATTGCTAGTGAACTTGACAATCCAGCTATGTAAATCTGAACCTTCATTTTAGATTTGTTTTTGTTGTACTGTGTAGCGTAGGGTAAACTACATTTAGAATCAAGCAGATGACCTATGACCAATTTGGTCATCCTTTCAGAGATATGTCCTTATTTAATGAAGAAGCAGAATAATCATGGATGGGCAAAAATCAGTGGGATTGGGAGTGGAAGTAACTTTTGAGTTCCTGCTGGCTTCCCCAATGACTTTGTTTGTGGGAAGCTGGCAGAGACACTGGATGTTAAGATCATGTGACTATGGATGAGCCCACTCACACTGCAATGGCCACAAGTTCACAAATACAACTGTTCTGAAGATCCTTAAAATTTCAATTACATGGGAGTAATGGGATTTTGGACCCCATTATTTAAATTAGCCCATTTGAGTTACCTTACTTCAAAAATGGTTGCCCTATGATGCACAGATTGGGCTAAAAAGAGATTGGAGAGTTTTAGAGTCATATACATTAAACCATTTGAACACTCAGTTCCAGCTTTTTGACCCAATTGTTGTGAAATTAAAATTTCACACTAGTTTTAACAGCCTAAGATAATAGATTCAAGAATTATAGAATTCTGTTTTGCATACTAATGTATGTTATTAATTCTGAAGTTCAGTATGCTTCTTTTGACCTCCAGTCTTCTTTACATGGTGATGGAATATGTCTTAAATAAATATAGCTTATTCTGAAGATAAACATTTGAGTAAAACATTTAAGGAGACCTAATTGGATATTTGCTATATCCCATCATTAAAATCCCCATGTGAACTCATGAATGTCAGATGTTGCTATGCAGTTATATTATGCAGTATTATTTTCCTTTTCACTTTCATAATCTTTTAGAGTGGAGTTTTTTGGTTTAGAAATGTTACATTGCAATACCTTCCTGATGTTTATAGATATTCCTTTTTTTCCTCCTATTTTTTTGTAAACAATAAAGCAGGGGATGAAGTCAATGATCTCAGCACTGAAGCAGCCAAAAAGTTCAGAGGTGGAAGTTTCAGTATAATGGAAAACTCAGTATAACTATGCAGGTGAAGAGAGAGAACCTGTCAGTCAGATCTCATACTGTCTTTGGTTGTTCTTTAGCCCTGGAAAACGTGATGTGAAATCTCTTGGTAAGAACTGATGGTTCCATTTAGTCACCAGGGACCAATAATGCATCTCACCAGGATCTGAGTTTCCCACTTGAGATTTCTGCTAAGATGATTCTAGAGTGATTTCATCGCTGCATAAGACTTGTTGAAAACATTGGTCCTTGACTACTCTGACTAGTATGGCTGGGCCAGATCTTCCAGTACAGAATGAGTTGGACAGAAATAGAAACAAGAACAGGCAGATTATACAGGAAAGGAGCACTGGGAAAGCAGCAGGAATTTTATATCTTTCAAAATCAGCGCAATAATCTGTTTTTGAGTCATTATCAGTGATTGATATGACATTTTTCCATTTATTCAAGGCTAACCTAAGCTATCTCACTGTGCTCC